CCTCAGGAGCCCCCAAGACGCCCCAAGCGGCCCCAAAGAAGCCCCCCAAGACGGCCCCGGGAGGCCGAAATGGTCAATTTTCCAATGTGTTTTTCGATGTTTTCTGCTTTCTCGCCATTTTAGCTTTCCGACGCTCCAAGACAGAACTAGAGGCCCTCAAGAGCGCCCCAAGATGGCCCGGGGGGCCCCCAAAACGGCCCCAACACGGCCCCAAGACGGCTCTGGAGCGCCCCGAAACAGCCCAAGAGGCGCCCAAGAAGGCCCAAGAGGGCCCCGAGAAAGCTTCAAACGAGCCCCCACAGGGCGATCAAAAGTTCAAACATCTAACTTTCCGCCCCAAGTGGGCCCCAGGAGGCCCCAGGAGGGCCCCAAGAGGCCCCAAGAGGCTTCCAAAGGCCCCGAGGACTCCCAAAAAGAACCCACGAGGCCCCAAAATGGCTCTCCAAAAGGCAGCCAAAACGGCCCCCCAAGAGGCTTCCAAACTGCTGAATCGCCCCACTTGACCGCCACCTCCGGAACGGCTTCGCTGCGCTGCTCCGTTGTTTGCCAGACAGTGGCATCCCACGCAAAACACCAAAATGCTTGAAATCCCGGGTTCGCAACCAAATTCCCGGGAAATCGGCTGCGAACCCGGGATTCGGCGCATTTCCCCGGAATTCGGTATATGTCCTTAGCATTTCCAGGATCCGGTACGTTGCCTGCATGCTTGCTGCCCTATGCCCTATCGCATCCCAGAATAATCGTTCCATGGAGGTTTCACGAGGGCAGCCGCAGCCCCCTGGTCTGTTTCCATATGTGATCGCAAGGCATCTCCGTTTGTCTCACCCCCATGCGCAAGTCGAGACAGCACGCCGCCCCAATGCGTGCCTTACCTTACCTTACCTCATGATATTCCTCCCTTCGCCGCGCCTCCCCAAATCGTCCTCCACTTCTTTCCCGCCCCTTCTGTCCGACGTTTTGTATTTCCGGAGCCTCCACGGCCGCTCTCATCGCCGCTGATCGGTCCGCTGGGACATTCTCATGGAGTCCCAGTGGCGCGCGGACAAGCAAAGCGAGGGCGCGAGCAAGTAAGGTGCAGGTCCGGGAACTGGGCGCGAACCAACCGCGGTTCCAAGACCGTGGAGGGCCGCGCTAGACGCCAACGCGCGCAAGGGTTGAAGGACCAAGGTGCATGGCGCGAAGCGCCAATGCAGTCTTGTATTATATATATATATTATATATACTTCTATTCCTCTTCCTATATTTTTACAAGCCCGGGGGCCGCAAAACCCCGCACCCCCCCCCCCCCCCCCAAACCGGACTCCTGGGATCCTGGGACTTTGGGACCCTCCGGACGCCCATTGAAGCGGTCCCGAGTGCCTCAAGAGCGCTCCAAGACAGGCACAAAGCGCTCCAAGACGCCAAAGATAGCCCCAAGACAGCCTCAGGAGCCCCCAAGACGCCCCAAGCGGCCCCAAAGAAGCCCCCCAAGACGGCCCCGGGAGGCCGAAATGGTCAATTTTCCAATGTGTTTTTCGATGTTTTCTGCTTTCTCGCCATTTTAGCTTTCCGACGCTCCAAGACAGAACTAGAGGCCCTCAAGAGCGCCCCAAGATGGCCCGGGGGGCCCCCAAAACGGCCCCAACACGGCCCCAAGACGGCTCTGGAGCGCCCCGAAACAGCCCAAGAGGCGCCCAAGAAGGCCCAAGAGGGCCCCGAGAAAGCTTCAAACGAGCCCCCACAGGGCGATCAAAAGTTCAAACATCTAACTTTCCGCCCCAAGTGGGCCCCAGGAGGCCCCAGGAGGGCCCCAAGAGGCCCCAAGAGGCTTCCAAAGGCCCCGAGGACTCCCAAAAAGAACCCACGAGGCCCCAAAATGGCTCTCCAAAAGGCAGCCAAAACGGCCCCCCAAGAGGCTTCAAAACTGCTGAATCGCCCCACTTGACCGCCACCTCCGGAACGGCTTCGCTGCGCTGCTCCGTTGTTTGCCAGACAGTGGCATCCCACGCAAAACACCAAAATGCTTGAAATCCTGGGTTCGCAACCAAATTCCCGGGAAATCGGCTGCGAACCCGGGATTCGGCACATTTCCCCGGAATTCGGTAGATGTCCTTAGCATTTCCAGGATCCGGTACGTTGCCTGCATGCTTGCTGCCCTATGCCCTATCGCATCCCAGAATAATCGTTCCATGGAGGTTTCACGAGGGCCCTTCCAAGTCATTAAGGAAACATTGTTTTCCACACGTGTTCGCACACATGCATCCGTAGCCGTTGGCTTACATTTTTAAGCTGTCGCATACGGCACATCCTCGATGTCTGTATTCGCTTGCTTCGATTGTGGCGAGACCCTGCCTGCAGAATCATTCTCCGCAACACAACTTCAGCAGTCCAATCGGGCTTGCAAGTCGTGTGCCAGTCGACGGGAAACACAGTCACGGTCAGCCCCCCAACGCAAAGACTATCAATGCACTCGTTGCGGGGACATGCACGATCGAACTCACTTCAGCCCTTGCCAGCTGCACCGATCCACTCGGACGTGCAAGGCGTGCGCCACTGACGGCCGTCCGAAGCAAGACCTCTTCTCCTGCACGCGCTGCGGAGAGCTCTGGGACAGGACCCACTTCGACGCGAGGCACCTCAAAGCACGCAGCACTACGCGGGTTTGCAATTCCTGCGCCTCGCCCACTGGTAGTACTTCCACGCTCACAGACTGCAAGTCCCTATCGCTGGGGCTCCGAGACTGCATTTGTAGCCTCTGCGGTGTCGCCCGGTTCTCTTCGGAGTGCGCGGGTTTCTGCTGTCAGTTCGGAAAGCACGCAATCGATTTCACGAAGTACTTTGCGGAGCCTGGACCAAACCTCCTCCAGGTATACCGACGCGACGGCTTCAACGCCCACTCCCGCGCATACAACAACCTGTTCGGACTCGCCGTGCACGATATCCAGTCCAGCAGCGCGGAGCGGGAAACACACTTCTCCCCGCACAAGCCGTCTTTCATGAGAATCCACGGCACCATGTACCGAAAAACGTGGACCGCCGAAGGAGCCAATGCGGTTCAGTACATTGTCGTGGACCAGCAACTCCGCACGCAGACTGCAGACCGTTTGCAACTCAATCCGCAAATTGTGCGTGCTCTGGAACGCCACGTCCTCCACGGGAACCCGCACATGACGGCGATTCAGAAACTGACCGCCCCCACCTCGACGCGCTGCCCCGACAGAGTTCTGCAGCTCGACTGGGACGAGGGCATCCAAGAAGTGGCTGCCATACTCGACTCCGCCGGCGGCGCTCGCACGTCTCCTCGATCGGTGTTCTTCCGCCTACAGAAGTCCGAGCAGTACGATTACATCCCTCCCCTGAGCGAGCTCTACGAACCACTGTCCTACCCTTTGTGGTACCCCCGCGGTGGCAGAGGCTGGGCTCCAGACTTGAACACGCCAGAGCACAACAAGATCACGCAGATGTGGTGGTACCGTCAGCAGGCGCTGCGGCTACCACACATGCATGTGTCAGGGCGGCTCTTCAATGAGTGGGCGATCAACATGTTCTGCCGGATGGAGGGCGAGCGCTTGCAACACGTGAAGGCACTGCAGCGGGCGTCCATAGCGACACGCTCCCAGCTTTGCGAGCTCCTGGCTAACCGGCCCCCCACTGAATCTGCTGGGATCGCTACGCCGCAGAAGCACTACCTCCCATCCACAGTGCAAGGGTCGCCGCGCCACCTTCGGCGGCTCCGGATTGACGCGCTGGAGACAGCTCGCCGTCTGGGCGCCCCGACGTGGTTCATCACTCTCACAACGAACCCCCATTGGCCGGAGATTGAACGGGAGCTCCACACGGGCCAGACCCACGCAGACCGACCAGACATAGTTGTCCGCGTGTTCCACGCCCGCCTGCAGCTCATCCGCAAATTCCTCCAGCACGAGTTCAGCGGGACTACGAAGTACATCATGCGAGTGATCGAGTACCAGAAAAGAGGCTTGCCCCACGCGCACATCGCCATTAGATCAGAGAGCCCCCCCGCCAGCGCCGAAGAAGTCGACGCATACATTTCGTGTGAGCTTCCTCGTGCGAGCGGTCCGCTTCGCGACCTCGTCCTGCGCCACATGGTGCACAAGTGCAACCGCGGCTGCCACCCCCTCGACCCTTCCGACCCGTGCAACAAAGGTTGCCCCTGGCCTTTTCGGCCCACTACCGAGTTTGACGGGCGCGGGTACCCCTTACACAGACGCCGGGAATGTGGCGGGCATTGTCCGAACTGCAGTTCTGGCCGCGCGGCGTTCGGTGGTCATGCACTCTGCTGCAACCAACTCATCGTGGAATACAACGCGAAGCTATTGATTCTGTGGGACGGGCACGCGAATGTGAAATTCGCAGGGCACGTCAATTTGTTCGAGTACCTCTACAAGTACCTCTTCAAAGGGCCCGACTACACTCTGTACGACATGCCCCCTGCAGACCGATCCGACGACGAGATTGCAGACTGGCTCCGCGGCCGATACCTGTGCGCGACAGAGTGCATGTGGCGAATATTCGGCTACGACACATACACGCGGACCCCCACTGTCGCGTGTCTCCCCGTCCACCTCCCCGGGGAAGACTGGGTGTCCTACAGCGACGGCTCCGAGCAACGCGCGCTCGACGCCACCTTCTCCGCCTTACCGCGGTACTTCGCGCGCCCGGCAGGGCCCGTATTCGACGGATTGCTCTACGCGGAGTATTTCGAGCAATTCCAGACGGCCAAGACGTGTCCTACCTCTTTAAACGACCCGTCCATGCTCAGAGCCGCAGGAGACCCGGACGTCGACGGCAGTGTCTGGACTGACCTGGCGCCCTGCGCCCAGCGGAACTACGTGTACCGTCGCATGCGTGGCCAGCCACCGCTGTGCCGATTGGAGATGAAATTCCCCCAGCAGAAAGAAGTGTTCTACCTTCGCCACATGCTCTTGCACTACCCCAAGCGGTCGTTCGAAGACTGCCGGTCCCATCTGGGTCGGTCCTACGCGACTTTCGAACAGGCCATGCTCGCGACCGGCCGTTTCACCAACAACACGGAGGCGCACGACACCATGCAAGAGCTCATTGACCTACGTTACACTGGGCACCAGCTTCGTTTCGTGTTTGTTCTCCTGCTCGACCAAGACTGCGCGCCGTGCGCTTTCTACAAGCGCTTCGCTGTAGCTCTCCAGAAGGACTTCCTCGATCGAGGCATGTCCCCTGCGGCCGCGCAATTGTCCTTGGCCTCGGCATTACTCAACCTGTGGGTTCAAGCGGGCCACGACAAGTCCAAGTTCCCGCTGCCTGACCTCTTGCGACACATGGCAGAACTGCAGGACCGGCCCGCTCTGCCCGAGGCAGAATCCCGTCGTTTGCGGCTCGGTGGAAGGCTCCGCAGAATCCAAACGACTGGCAGACGAGATCCTCTCGCAGTTCGCGGTTGGGGCCGACGTTTTCTTCTTTGTCCACGGTCGCGCTGGCACCGGGAAGTCCACCCTCGCCAACTATCTCACGCACGCTGCCGAGTCCACGCAGCACGCGGTGCTCAACGTGGCCACTACTGGCCAGGCCGCTCTCCAACTGGCCCACGGCGCTACTGCCCACTCCACGTTCGGCATCCCCACGACAGATGACGAATACCTCACTTCTACTGTGACGCCCAACACTGCGAAAGCCCGCATGCTGGCACAAACGAAGCTCCTGCAATGGGACGAATGGCCCATGGCCAAGAGGGCTTCGTGGGACTGCGCGGTGCAGCTGCTGCAGCGCCTGCGAGCTGACCTATCCGACGTGTACGTCCCGAAGGTCGTGGTTTGCTACGGCGACTTCCGTCAAATCCCGCCTGTGGTGAAGTACTGCACGCGCGCAGAAATTGTCCAGCACTGCGTTCGCGCGTCCCCAACGTGGGCCCGCTTCCGCGCGCGCCACCTGCGCCGTGCCCACCGGACCGCCGCCGACGCCAAGTTCACGGAATGGCTGGAGACCATTGGCAACGGCACGTGCCCCGCTCCTCACACCTGGAACGGGCACACTGGCTACGTGGCATTATCTGGCCTCCCGATGGTGGACTCTGAGCAGGAGGCAGTCGACTTCGCATTCCCCACCTTGCATGACCCCCATCGCTGCTCCAAAGCCAAGATCGTGGCCACGACGAACGACAAGGTGGACCACTTCAACGCCCTCATCCTCAACAGGCTCGTCATGGACCACGGGCTTTCTGACCATTCCCACTACAGCGCTGACAGTGTCGAGGTCGACGCCAACTCCGTATTGGATGATTCCATGACCACCGAGTTCCTGAATACCCAATCCCACCTGGGCGTCCCCCCGCACCGCTTGCGGCTGGTCCGCGGAGGCCTCTACGAGCTCATGCGCAACCTCAACAGCAAGGAACGCTTGATGAATCACACGCCCGTTATTCTGAAAAACGTTCATCGGTTTCACGTTGTGATTGCCACGCTCGACCAGCGCGAGTACCCTATTCCGCGCATCATCTTCCAGTGGGCTCTCGGTCGGGGTGCCTGCACTGTGCTGAGGCGACAGCTCCCCCTGCGCCCCGCGTACGCCTCCACGTTCAATGGGGCGCAGGGCGCGACGCTCGAGAGATGCGCCGTGGATGCGCGGGCAGACCCCTTCGCCCACGGCCACCTGTACGTTGCTCTCGGTCGCGTGTCTCACCGGATGGATTTGCGAATCCTATCTTCTCCGGACCGGTGCACGCCTCAAGGCGAGCCTCTCATCCGGAATGTGGTGTGGAAAGAGCTGCTCCTGCCCCATGGCCCAGCTCGCAGCAGCGGCGGCCCGCTTGCGGGCGCGGAGCTTCCCATGAAACGCCCAGCCGCCGCCCAGCACGGCGCGCGCAAGCGACCGGCGCGCAGCTAGCTGGCGCTGCGCGCCCAGGCACCCTTTCTGGCTATGAGTTTCAAAGTGTAAGCTTAGCCTCCGTTAGTGCTTGCTCGCAACCTTGGTGCCTGCATCTGCCTGTCGCTCTCGCGAGCGGAAAACCGCTCCAATCGGCCGCCATCTCTTAGACGGCTTCGCCGCGCTGCCCCGCCGTCTCCCCCGCAGCGGGTTCCCGCCCAAACCACCAAAATGCTTAGAATCCCGGGTTCGCAACCAAATTCCCCGGATATCGGTTGCGAACCCGGGATTCGGTGCATTTCCTACGAATTCGGGTGCTTTCGCGCACACCGCTGCTCACCGCTGCAGTTTCTCGGCTCCAAAGCGGCGCCCAGCATGCAAAGAGTGAGTTTGCCGCAGTGTTCGTCGGTGGCCGCCCCCCGCCCTGCCCAAGACTTCGAAGCGATGCCGGCGCGCAGCGGCAACGCGGTCGTCGTGGACCCCGCCGCCCCGCAGCCTGCGGCCCAAGCAGCCCCGGGGGCACGCGCCAACGGCACGCTCTACACCGTTGACGTGGGCATCCAGATGATTGGGGTCAAAATCGCTGGCAAGGTGGTGCACGACGCCGGCGTGCGGTTCACCCTCGCCGACGCGGCGTCCTTGCAGCCCGGTCAGCCGCGCCTGGCGCAGCGCCGCGCTTTGTCTACGGCGCGTGGCCCGCCAAACCGCTCTGCTCCCCCCCAGGCCGAAACGTTGCCGTCAAATCGAAAGACGCCCGCCCCCACCTAAACACGCATATGATTATACTTCGGATTTTCTCCCCCCCTCCCAAGCCCCAGGTGACCCAGCGCGCTCGGGAGGAGCTCGCCCTGCCGGAGAAGCCGCGCAACGTGGAGTACATGAACCGCGGCCTCATGCCGCCTCAGAGCACCGCGAACCCCTACCAGGACCGGCCCGCTCTGCCCGAGGCAGAATCCCGTCGTTTGCGGCTCCTGGTGGAAGGCTCCGCAGAATCCAAACGACTGGCAGACGAGATCCTCTCGCAGTTCGCGGTTGGGGCCGACGTTTTCTTCTTTGTCCACGGTCGCGCTGGCACCGGGAAGTCCACCCTCGCCAACTATCTCACGCACGCTGCCGAGTCCACGCAGCACGCGGTGCTCAACGTGGCCACTACTGGCCAGGCCGCTCTCCAACTGGCCCACGGCGCTACTGCCCACTCCACGTTCGGCATCCCCACGACAGATGACGAATACCTCACTTCTACTGTGACGCCCAACACTGCGAAAGCCCGCATGCTGGCACAAACGAAGCTCCTGCAATGGGACGAATGGCCCATGGCCAAGAGGGCTTCGTGGGACTGCGTGGTGCAGCTGCTGCAGCGCCTGCGAGCTGACCTATCCGACGTGTACGTCCCGAAGGTCGTGGTTTGCTACGGCGACTTCCGTTAAATCCCGCCTGTGGTGAAGTACTGCACGCGCGCAGAAATTGTCCAGCACTGCGTTCGCGCGTCCCCAACGTGGGCCCGCTTCAACGTGCGCCACCTGCACCGTGCCCACCGGACCGCCGCCGACGCCAAGTTCACGGAATGGCTGGAGACCATTGGCAACGGCACGTGCCCCGCTCCTCACACCTGGAACGGGCACACTGGCTACGTGGCATTATCTGGCCTCCCGATGGTGGACTCTGAGCAGGAGGCAGTCGACTTCGCATTCCCCACCTTGCATGACCCCCATCGCTGCTCCAAAGCCAAGATCGTGGCCACGACGAACGACAAGGTGGACCACTTCAACGCCCTCATCCTCAACAGGCTCGTCATGGACCACGGGCTTTCTGACCATTCCCACTACAGCGCTGACAGTGTCGAGGTCGACGCCAACTCCGTATTGGATGATTCCATGACCACCGAGTTCCTGAATACCCAATCCCACCTGGGCGTCCCCCCGCACCGCGTGCGGCTGGTCCGCGGAGGCCTCTACGAGCTCATGCGCAACCTCAACAGCAAGGAACGCTTGATGAATCACACGCCCGTTATTCTGAAAGACGTTCATCGGTTTCACGTTGTGATTGCCGCGCTCGACCAGCGCGAGTACCCTATTCCGCGCATCATCTTCCAGTGGGCTCTCGGTCGGGGTGCCTGCACTGTGCTGAGGCGACAGCTCCCCCTGCGCCCCGCGTACGCCTCCACGTTCAATGGGGCGCAGGGCGCGACGCTCGAGAGATGCGCCGTGGATGCGCGGGCAGACCCCTTCGCCCACGGCCACCTGTACGTTGCTCTCGGTCGCGTGTCTCACCGGATGGATTTGCGAATCCTATCTTTTCCGGACCGGCGCACGCCTCAAGGCGAGCCTCTCATCCGGAATGTGGTGTGGAAAGAGCTGCTCCTGCCCCATGGCCCAGCTCGCAGCAGCGGCGGCCCGCTTGCGGGCGCGGAGCTTCCCATGAAACGCCCAGCCGCCGCCCAGCACGGCGCGCGCAAGCGACCGGCGCGCAGCTAGCTGGCGCTGCGCGCCCAGGCACCCTTTCTGGCTATGAGTTTCAAAGTGTAAGCTTAGCCTCCGTTAGTGCTTGCTCGCAACCTTGGTGCCTGCATCTGCCTGTCGCTCTCGCGAGCGGAAAACCGCTCCAATCGGCCGCCATCTCTTAGACGGCTTCGCCGCGCTGCCCCGCCGTCTCCCCCGCAGCGGGTTCCCGCCCAAACCACCAAAATGCTTAGAATCCCGGGTTCGCAACCAAATTCCCCGGATATCGGTTGCGAACCCGGGATTCGGTGCATTTCCTACGAATTCGGGTGCTTTCGCGCACACCGCTGCTCACCGCTGCAGTTTCTCGGCTCCAAAGCGGCGCCCAGCTTACAAAGTGTGAGTTTGCCGCAGTGTTCGTCGGTGGCCGCCCCCCGCCCTGCCCAAGACTTCGAAGCGATGCCGGCGCGCAGCGGCAACGCGGTCGTCGTGGACCCCGCCGCCCCGCAGCCTGCGGCCCAAGCAGCCCCGGGGGCACGCACCAACGGCACGCTCTACACCGTTGACGTGGGCATCCAGATGATTGGGGTCAAAATCGCTGGCAAGGTGGTGCACGACGCCGGCGTGCGGTTCACCCTCGCCGACGCGGCGTCCTTGCAGCCCGGTCAGCCGCGCCTGGCGCAGCGCCACGCTTTGTCTACGGCGCGTGGCCCGCCAAACCGCTCTGCTCCCCCCCAGGCCGAAACGTTGCCGTCAAATCGAAAGACGCGCGCCCCCACCAAAACACGCATATGATTATACTTCGGATTTTCTCCCCCCCTCCCAAGCCCCAGGTGGCCCAGCGCGCTCGGGAGGAGCTCGCCCTGCCGGAGAAGCCGCGCAACGTGGAGTACATGAACCGCGGCCTCATGCCGCCTCAGAGCACCGCGAACCCCTACCAGGGCCGCACGTGGACCTACTGCATCGACGTGGTGCCCACCACGTCCGGGGCCGTCAAGGCGGCCATTGCGCACGGCGCAGACCACGCCGCTTTCATCATGAAGCACGCCTTCTTCGAGGCCGACCTGTCCGTGCCCGCGTCGCCCACGGCGGCGGCCTGGAGCGCGACGGCATCCCTGCTCGGGCAGCGCGTCAAGGTGCACCGCACTGGCACGCGCGCCGATGGGGGCGACTGGGCGGTGTCCGACCTCATCAGGTTCCGCTTCCGTCTGGACCCAGCGATGCCGCCGAACGTGCGCAAGGTGGTGGACGCCATGGTGCAGAAGTATTCTGCCTACATCACGGTGGGCCCCTTCGACTGGCAGGGCGGCCCTCAGGCGCTCGCGGCTTCGGCCCCCAGGAAGCGCCCGGCGGCGGCTGGCGGTGAGCCCGCGGTTCGCAAGCGCCCCGCGCGCCGTTGAGGCGCGGCCGCTGGCGAGTACCTCTTTTCCGCGCAGCCGCGCGCGCCCACGTGGCGGCGCGCGCCAAGGCCGGGCACGTTTTTTAATATGACCCCGCAGACGGTGCGGGTGCTTGCCGCTTCTTCTCTCCTCGGCCCCTGGCGCCCGCGTCGCGGCATGCCCGTAGGCCACGAGAGCCGTTTACAGGGGCGTCCCCCGCCCCGCGCGGAACCCGCCCAGCATTCTGTCGGTCTGACATGTGCTATCGCAGCCCGTCCATTGAGCCGTATCGACGTCGCTCTCAGCAGCAAAACATTCCCGTCCTCCGCGAGCCTCGCGAGCCTCCCCCTGGGGCCTCGCCGCGTACGCCCCGCTTCGCTTTCGCCCGTCAACGCATGTTTCATGGCGTCCAACGCCGAAGGCGGACTTTGAGGCCTCCCCCGCATCGCCAAAGCTCCCTTCCTCCGTCCCCATCTGCTCTGACGCTTTTCCCGTGGCTTCGTCACTTTCGGGAATTCCCCGGGAATCTCTGCCGCCATTGCCACAGACGTGAAGCCTCGCTTCCGGAGTCCCAGAAGCTCCCGAAAAGCCCCATGGAACCACGTGAGCCCCAGCAGGGCCCACCGCAGAACCCCGTGTGCCCCCGCTGGAGCCCATGGCATGCTTCGGGAGCCCCCCAAGGCATTCACCCCACCAAGCAGCAGAATCGCCCCAAATCCAAGGTTCGCAGCCGATTTCCCGGAAAAAACGTTGTGAACCCGGGATTCCAATTTTTTTTCTCTGCATCGCGGCCCAAACCGCTCTCCTTATCAAATTGCCCTTCCGCTTTTCCCAAGCCATACCTTCAGATAAAGCCGCGTCATGCAAAGCTGTCCCCGGGGCCCCGACCATTTGTTCGCGCTTTCTCAAGCTTCTCCCATACCTTCGCGATCCAAAAGAGCCTCGGGACGCCTCCAGCAACGTTAATGACAGCTTCGGAAACCTCTAGGAGACCCCCCACGCCGCTTCCAAATACCATTTCCAATTTTTCCACGATCCGAATTAATGATGTTTGCCTTCTCGCTTTGTTACTTATGCTGATGCTTGAAGACCGCCCCGAAGTAGCCTCCGGGGGGCCCGATGCGCTTCCAAAAATCTCCGAAACAGCACCAAGGGGAAGTTGAACAGGCCCCCACAAGGCCCCCCACACGTCCCCCCAGGTCTCCACGAAACCCCACCGGGCCCCCACGACGCCCCCAGTAGTTTCAAAAAAACCGCCAATGATCCCCAGGGGTCCCAAAAGGTCCCCCCCCTTTCTACGTGGTTCGTACTGTCTTAGCCTTCGCGCATTGCCAGCTTCGGACACCCCATCAGGTCGCCAGGGCCTCCCCTGACGACCCCCAAACCCGTCCAAGAGGACCTAGACAAACACCCAAAACGACACACGTGGTTCCGAAAGGACCCCTGGGACCGCCACGCGGCCCCACAAATGCGTTCCTCCTCCTCTTCCTCCTCCCCGCCCCCGTCCGCCACACTCGACTTCGTCACCCATCGTCCTGCTTTCCCTTGCTGCATCGCCTGGCTTCGCCGGCAAGTCTCCCGTTCCATGTGGATTTTCTGGTCTCGGTGCCACGCGTGTCGGTGGCTCCGCGCCCACCCGGCTTTGCTCCGCACCTAATCCCATGGAGAGTGTTCCAGACAGAGCTTCGTATTCGAGGACTTCCAAAGTTGTCTTCTCGCCCTCGGCGGAGGCTGGCAAAAGGCCCGCGGAAGCTGGCGGATGTAAGCGGCTATCGCTGTGGCCAGCGCATGCCAGCGGACGCTGGGTTGAACCCCCCGAAAGCCAGTTGGGCTTTCCAAGAGAGGTCGACGCTGACCACCGTCACGTCCTGGGGCTTGCATAGCGGAGTGCATAATCGACGATCGGTGTGCACACATCGATCCATGGGCCCCTCGAGGTCTGCACGCCTCGCCCAGAACAGGCTGCCTGGCGCTCGCAATGAACCCCCACTCGCCCGAGGACCGCCCATACACAGTCACCAGACGGCCTCAATATGGCCCAAACCATTCTGCACCCCAATTAACAATGAACGTGTAGAGAGGGCCCCCTCGTGGCACAAACATCTCAACGGTCGCGCGAACCGACCTCTCCATGCATGGCCGCCCCATGTGGTGATGTGCGCATCGTTGCGATGCATGTCGTTTGCAATGGCTCGCGTCGAATTGCAGTGCGTTGCATTGTCGTCGCATTACAGGTCAACGCCAATAGTTCACATCGCGCTTCTATTGCGACCTATTGCATTCGTTTCACTACTGCGAAGGCCTTACGGCCGGTGCCGCCGACCCTGAAAGGGAACGACGACGGCGGCGGCGACGACGACGACGCTAACGTGGATCAGAGTCCTCAGAACTGCTTCTCGGGGTCTCTTCGGAACGCTCTCGGGGGCCTCGGGGAGCAGTCCAGGGGCTCTTGGGAGCCTCTTGAAAGCGCTTGGGACTTCCTGAGGGCCTCTTGGGGGCCTGTTGGAACCTCTTGGGGCCATCCTGGGGCTTCTTGGGGCCCCCATGGCATCCTCTCGGGGCTGAGGGCAAATTTTCTCGGACCAGTGGCCACCGCCACAGCCATAAGAACGGGGGGCACGTTTTTCCAGGATCGAGGCTTCGTGAAAGCCTGCAGGAATGCTTTTCCCCTCCCCTGGCAGCGAAGGTCGCCCCCAAACGATTTCACTCCTCCCTCCTTATCCTCCTCCCCTGGTGTAGCCACTTTGGCCCAAGCCCAATGGAGGCCTTCTGGTCTTCCTTTTGGCTCGTGCGCTGCACGCGCCAACTCGTGCGCGACAGCCTTTTCAAAGGCACTTTATCGAAATGCCACCTTCCGCCATTTTGGCGCGACCTGCAGCCGAGCAATGAACTCGTGCCGGGCACGGACGTGCACATGGCAACGCTGAGCCCAGCAGAGTTGAAGGCATTCGTTCTTGGTCTGCATCTCTTCCTGTTCCTCCTCTTCCTCCTCCTCGTCCTTTCCCCCCTCGCTCCTCATATTCCTTATTTTCCTCCTCCCTTTCCTCCCTTCCACATGCCCTTCACGAGGCCCTTCTTCCGGCCATCAACGACTGGCGGTCGGTGTCCGTGTCGTGGGACGACTGGGCTTCGTACAACGACGCCGCCGGGGACGAGACGTCGGGGCAACCGGACATCTTCGTCAAAACCATAGAACACGAAAAGGTGTGCTTGGAGATGGCTGACAAGACGTCGAGAGCAATCACGACCATTCTGGGCCAGGCCCCGTACCAGGCACGCGACTCCTTCGCGCTGGTTATGGAGTTCCTCCACAGCCCAGTGGCCCTGAAGATCTTGCAGGAGAACGTCGAGGACACTGCCACGAAAAAGGGCGTGACCTCCAAGGTGGGCGCCGTGCTCGCCGCGCACACGGGCCACCCGGCAGACTTGGTGGGAACGAGCTTCAACCCGTGGGTCCTCGCCCACTCAAGGTCGAAAAAGTTGTCTGCCCGGAAGGCCCCGGGCCTCGGAAGAATCCCCAGCCATGCGACAATGTTTTTCTATAACAGCACTTGCCTTTCGCAACGACACGGCGGATGTGTTCCACACTCGTCAGGGGCAGTTTTTCCACGCACGTGTTATTATTATTTTCCCATGCCCCAAAATTTCCTTCGCCCCCCGTTCGCCCCAGCTCGCGCGGGCCATTCTGACGCCCGCCGCAGGCTGCCTCCGAGCTCAGGAAGATCGCCGCCAATAGCCGGCGATTCCGGGAGGCGGTGAACGAGCTGGAGCACAAGGGCGGCATGGTGGACAAGCTGCTGGCGGCCCCGGCGGGCGAGCTGGCCACCGTGCTTGCAGCAAGCCCTGGCTGGCGCAGCTTCCGGGCCAAGAACTTCTCGCTTCCGCCAGCCGACGAGTCGGTGCAGCGACCACGGCCGGTACGCCACCACGCCAAAGGTGGTCCTCGCGGGGTCTGGGCCGCGCCGGGTGCTCTCCCAGCGCCTGGGGACCACGGCGTGGGTGCCAGGGAAACAGGTCAGGAGCGTAAAAAACACACCATTCACACGCGTTAAATTCCTCCCACCCGCCCTACGTTTAATTCTGAAGGATCTGTTCATACAGATCACGCCTCCCCCGTACAGGGGGGAACGCGCGAATTGGCACGAACCCGGATCAGCGCCCACTGGAGAAAAAGCCCCTCGCGCAGCAATGTAGACCCGAATAGCAGTCATATTTTTTGGTGTGTTTTTTTCTGCTCCGTCGAAGGGCCGGCGCGTCCGGAAGGTGGCCGCCCTGGAGAGCAGCACCGCCGGCGCCCTTCAGCTCTGGTCCGCCCTGCTGCGACAGTGCGCTGGCGAGCGGACCAAGGCGCTGGCGGCGGCGCGCAAGCTGGCCACGAAGCGCCACAAGACCCCTGCGCTGGAGCGCCTGCTGAAGTGGGCGGACAAAGCGCTGCTCCCGGACTACGGGATGCAGTTCGCTTTCTGCGAGGAGAGCCAGCTGCTCTCCCGGCTCGCAGGCCCGGCCCCCCCAGACGAGGAGGCCGGCGACGAGAGCGACGTGGCGGCGGGCGACGACGGCGATGCCGAGGTCGCTGCTGGGCCGGCCGCTGGTGGCGCGTAGGCCACGCGGGCCCTGGGCTGCGGCTGCCGCCCCTGCCTCTGGCCCCCCGCTCTCGGCTTTCGGGCAGAGGCCGCCCGCGGGGTTGGGCGGTTTCTGGAGCGGCGCCTCTCGGTGCGACGCGGACAAATTGCTTTGCCGCTCCCCGACGGCACCTTCATTATCCTTCTCCCTCCTCCTCTTCCTCCTCATGATCTGGCAGTCCTTGGAGCCGCAGCCCCCTGGTCTGTTTCCATATGTGATCGCAAGGCATCTCCGTTTGTCTCACCCCCATGCGCAAGTCGAGACAGCACGCCGCCCCAATGCGTGCCTTACCTTACCTTACCTCATGATATTCCTCCCTTCGCCGCGCCTCCCCAAATCGTCCCCCACTTTTTTCCCGCCCCTTCTGTCCGACGTTTTGTATTTCCGGAGCCTCCACGGCCGCTCTCATCGCCGCTGATCGGTCCGCTGGGACATTCTCATGGAGTCCCAGTGGCGCGCGGACCAGCAGAGCGAGGGCGCGAGCAAGTAAGGTGCAGGTCCGGGAACTGGGCGCGAACCAACCGCGGTTCAAAGACCGTGGAGGGCCGCGCTAAACGCCAACGCGCGCAAGGGTTGAAGGACCAAGGTGCATGGCGCGAAGCGCCAATGCAGTCTTGTATA